CCAATGTAAAGATTCTGTTAAAAAAAAAAAAAAGCACACGTGGCTTTCTTCTAAAATGTATGTATCTTAGAATATGTTTGATGGTGCATCACCCTTAACCCTTGCACTTGATTAATTAATTTGTTTTGTACAGTTTATCCTCATAGTATTTTTGCCCATGATTCCACATGCTAGGGTTGACTTATCAACTAGTTAAACACTAACCTTTTTTGTACTGCATTAGGTGTCGTGTTCATAGTTCATACTAGCCACTTGTGTATTTTTATTTTTATTTTTATTTTTATTATTATTTTTTTTTTATCACACCCCAAAGCAAATGCAAATTTACAAGATAATGAAATGTCAATGATAGTATAGTCGAATAATCGTGGAAAATGATGCAAAATTCAATATTTTTGAAATGTAAAATGTCTAAATTTCCATTATATCCTGATTTAATTAAGAAATCAAGTCAAGGGGGGCTCTTTCGAGAAAGAGTCATGAATTACATTATTAGAAGAGGAAAAGCTAAGGAGCAGAGGAAGATTATTTTGATGAAGGAAAAGGGATGAATATTTGTCATCTCCCTCAAACAGTGCTGGACTAGTAGTAATTGGAGCTGGTTCTTGTTGCATCTGAATGCAAAGTATTTCTGCTTGAGCCGCAGCCAACTGCATTTGAAGCTGAGAAACCTGGTCTTGCAAGTAAGATATGGTGCCAACGCAACCGTACACTGGATCTCTAACTCGTGCGTTCGCCTCGTATACCAGACTACTCACTGCGTCCGCTCTTTGTTGTAATGGGAGTTCCTGATTTTCGCATAGAGCAAAAATATATGTTAGAATAAGACAATACTCCTTCAAGTGTGTTTTAAGACATTGTCCTAAACACAACGGGACATGGTAAGTATAACACCACTTTTGGAATGGGATAACAGTGATAGTAAACGCACTTTAAGAATTTAACCTATGTTTCTTCAAATCTTTAATTTTGTCTAATATGTTTAGGTCTACTTACCAAACTTGTTATGTAAGGTATAAGAAAAATACATATATGTTAACCTTAATTCCAACTGTTAACCCCCCCCCCCCCCCCCCAACCCCACTTGTACAGCTTACCACACATAAGTTCTAAGTGTAGACCTAAACATCTTGCCCAGGGTTTGACAGATTTTTGACCATAGTAGATAAATCCATTTACACAAATACATGGTAAATTTCAGTTATGAAAGTTCATTTATCTACACACAATAATTAAATTTGAATAGATTATAAATGGATTTTACTGGACACTGGCACTCACTGCACTTTGGATTAGCTAGGGCAATGTCTTTGCACGATAACTTGAGACCGTACCCATTTCTTTGCAAAGAACATACACATGCAGAAGAAAAATAAAACTCTCATTCCCTAAGCTCTACCACTTTTACAAGGTTTAATAAAAAGAAAAATATACAAAACCCAAATTATATAGAAGAAGATTAAAAGCTTGTTTGGTTATAGATTATAATTGGTTTAAATTATAAATAGATAGAAATGAGAGTTGAATAAGTTGGCAGTGCTTATAGGTCCTATGGGGATAAAAAGTAGGTTTGACAGATGTTGTTTATAATTGAACAAGGGCTAAGAAAGCTTACCACTGAAACCAAGCAATGTTTACTTTTTGGATCAAGACCACGATAAAGGACACTTATATCAATCTCAGTTGACAAGGCAGCTAATGTTGCTGTTATGTCCTCAACTCTCTCACAAGTATTCTGCCAACCCAGAACTAGAAAACATGGAAAATGTAATACATTAGTGGCTCGTAGATGAAGTGTTGAATCAGTTAACTTCTGAGCCATTGTAGTACACTACCTAAAAATAATGAATAGATAAAAAATGAAACTGGAAAGTCACCTGTAGTGAAAACATGGGGTGGCGCTGAGAGAATATGGTGAATATAGTTTAGCTTCCCACAGCCACCATCCTCTGGATCACAAGCTAACTGGTGATTCATCTCAACAAGGTTTAGAAGTTTGTCGAAGGAGTTTTCTGGGCACATAACCTACAAGGTAAATATGAAAATTTTAACTAACTGCAGTTTATAAATTGACCATTTTGGCAAACACAAACATGTAAAATTTCCATTTCAATCCACAGGCAGAATAAGAATTATCATAACCGTAAGCATTTTTCCCCCTCGAATGAGCTGAGGATATACAGGAATTGTAGAAAAACACGTCTGGATCTATGTACCTTCATTGTTCTGAGAGCACTGGTATTAATATTGTGAAAGAAAGATGTGTACTTCAAATATCTGGACTCCAAACCACAGTTGTAGCAATTCATTCTTTCTAATACGTCCATTCCGAAAAGTGTGTGCGCAACACAAGCACCACTTGTGCAATCCCAGGAGCCCATACAGTTGCTATCTATCGATTCAGTATCAGACACAGAAGGTGCAGGAGTAAATGAGCGATGTAGACAATCAAACACAACCCCCAGCACTTCTGAAGCATCATTCATCTGACCCTGAAGGTTGTCATAACATGATCGAACAATGATTTCTGATCAATTATCAATGAAGAAACATGTTTTTTAACGAAATTAGCAGCAGTAAAATTTACCTCCTGGAAGAAATTGCTATCAGGATACAAATTGCTTAGAGCAACTCTTAAAGAAGTAGGTGCAACAGCTTCTCTGTGTGTATCTACGGACGCCTTGCTCAAAGCCATGAAGATTTCATACAAAGCACATACGACACAAGGATCACCCACATGAACATGATCCGAAGATGATCTCCTCAAAAATTCTTCTTGGAAACGTCTTAAATGCCACAAGGACTGAAACCCAAAAGAAATGAATTCTCAGGCAGAAGGAAAGATGTTACTTTCAAGACAATGATAAAAAGACAAGGAGACGTGAAACAGCAAACTGTAAAATGCTCTCCAATCCCAACCTGTATTATGACATTCAGAAAGCAATTATATTCACCAACTTCGTTTTTCAGCCCCGTACCATATCCATCTGTCCCATTAACACCATCACTAGGGACTTCAATAGATGAAACAACCGAGTAACTGATTTCAGGGAGCATCTTTTGTGGCATTGGTGAACCTGACATCAAAGGCAGTTTTCGACGTGCATGGAACGTATCTAGCATAAACATGAAGCACAATGCAAAAGAACATGTAAGCAACTCGACAAATAAGAAGTCAATTTCATATGCTAATTTTGCTTCTGTATGTACTTAGCAATGGCTTAGTTTGAATAAGTCAGGAATCTTGGGGTTGGATAAACCAAACGACCTAAAACCACCTAAGCTCCAAATTCAACTTTTAGAACTCAAGAGAGAGCATGTATCAAGTGCATCTTCAGTGGAGGAACAAAACCATAGAAAATAGTCCAGAGAAAGCAGAACTTAATATATGGACACATATAGGAATGGTGTATAATATTTGGGTCGGAACTCCATACCCAAGGAGTACCCATTTGGGATCTCAATGCTGATGCCAATAATTTGGACAACATGTTGTATTTAACAAACTCAGCAGATTAAATTCACAAAAAATAAATGCAAGAAAGCGGGAGAGAAATGAAATAGGCGAAGAGAAGAAGGGGAAAGCCTCTATCAAGCTAAGTTGTAAAGCCGTACAGGGTAATATATAAAAATCCGAAACAACAGAGAAACATATACAAGCACATTCAACGTGAGTTAAATGAGTCGGATCTTAGTAATTTCAGCAGAAAAATGAAAAATTGATGTCAACTGCATTTTGCATTATGGGGGAAAGATGCATAATGCGTGTGGTCATTCTTCTCCTTAATCACCAACTTCAACTGAACATAATTTTATAATTCGCTAACTTATTGGCCAGGTAGCTTCAATTTAGAAATTAAAAGTAGGAAAAGTTAACAAGACACATACCAAGACTTTGCCGTACAGCTTTCTTAAGGTCAGCTTGGAACCTCTCTTCTTCATCATCCTCTGCTTGTAGCTGTCTCAATGTCTTTGTTCCAGTATCTATAAGAGTATAATGATAAAATTTCAAGCAAAGTATAACAAGTTGTACAATTTCATCAATCCATAAAAAGCACAGCTACATCACTTTTTTTATTTAACAAAATTAAGAACATCCGTTAAACCTCGCAGCATATACATCCCCTGTTTGACAACCATTATTTCAAAACTCTTCATTCTATATAATCATTTTCAATCATACATTCGCACAATAAAAATATTCTATACGTAGATCCAAAACTTTTCCCCACCTTTTAACCACACATTTTCCAAAGATGCACTATTCAAAACTTCTTTTTTGCCAAATAATGGCCATCAGGGACATAATATCAGCATTTTGCATTTACGATAAATCTGTACATATAAACACATGCAACAAGTCAACAACAAACTAAATCATATCACCAATAATATTTTTTTTTTTTTTTTAATGGAAAACACCAACACAACTTCGGTTTTCAAACTCCACCAGGGAAGGCTAATGGAGGTTTTGGATTCCCAAACCGCATGATATTCTTATTACCAATAATATCTGGGTCAGCTATATCAATCATTCCCTGCCAATTCATTTGACACCCCTCCCCCCACCCCACCCCCCAAAAAAAAAAAAAAAAAAAAAAATTATTGGAAGATCCAATGTGTCAAATGCTTTGCAATCGCATAAGACCATGCTAATTTCATTCAGCCTACCCTACAACTAAGAAGGGAACAAAGCTTCTGAGTTGAATTCAGTTGAATCAGGTTGGCCATCTTAAATTATTTTTTCACTTTCGAGATCGTTGGTAGTATAGTATTATATAAATCATATATTTGACAAAAACAGAATTTCATTACCGTCAAATTCTTCCATAATAAAGGAGTGCACTTTATAAATGCAGCAAGGGCTAACAAGAACACTGCTTTTCTAAAAATCTGATGAAAATTTGTTCCAATCATACACTTTTCCTTCCCAATTTTAAACTCTACATTTAAAAAGGCAGCAGTGAAAACAGCAAGAAAACAGCAATGAATTGTCATCACATGATATCAACAAACGTTAACTTCTCGTGTTTTGCCAGCAGTATTTCCTTTTTAATTAATAATTTGCAAGCTGGTGATGAGATTTAAGTATCATGTCTGCTATAGCCCCAATCCAACGAACATGTTTCCACTCAAGGTGCCACGAAACATATTACCTAAATGATATGAACAAAGATGACACCCAATAAGATTCTCCCACATTAGAACAACAACCAACCACAGAATCAGCCTGTGGCTGATTATATTTATTTTGGAATCAGAAAATTCTCCCAGTTTTCCATTCAAGACCATGATTGCGTGATTTATTTGGCGATTGACGAACACAATAACCCTCCTTCCTTTGCGAAAGTGAATGTCTGTGACACAAAATATACCAGGTACAACACAGCCCACTTATAACCAAAATATTGTTGCTGACTACACAGAGAGGTTATTTAACATTCAGTAAGGATATACTTTGACATTACAAAAACTTTAACGAATGTTCCCATATTTTTAGTTCCTCCAGAAACAACCGTGGACACAGAAATTCAAAAAGGATGTTAAAACTAGGTCGTTTCAGGCGTGTAGCTTGATGCACACCTAAAGTAAGGCTTTCATATAACACCTTGAGTTCCATTTTCAAGGTTACACCTCGTCTTGTAGAGGCTTAGACTAAGGTGTGAACTCATTCGTCCTTCCTTCTCCAGAAATTTTATATTGGGCTCAGCTTTTTGAGCTACTTTTTTTTGGTAGTCTAGAACATTGTATAGGTTTTTGTCTTCTTCATTCTGCCTTCAAAAGGAGCCATTGTTGCTAGGGGAGGAAAAATGATAAGAAATTAAAATGATGAAGATGATGATGAAAACATGTATGTTGATTATTCTCTTAAAGAGAATATTAGTAGCGATGATACAAGACACTTCTAGGTTATTTCTATTTCCAATAATAGATAGCAATTTTGTTGTCTTACTAATTTGAGAACTTATTGATCATTACTTATTTCTTTTTGTTTGTTTGTAAATCGTCAACATGGTTTATGGATTATTATAAGAATATTTTTGAGTTTTTATATTATTTTTTGAATTATTTATTAATTTGTCTAGAGGTAAAAAAAAAAAAAGCCTTGG